ATCTCCTGCTTCCATGAAGGAAGAAAATGTATGAGAGTGGTATTAGCCTAAGCATCCATCCATGGGTTGAGCCTAGGCCTGCGAAATCAGTCCCCCAACCCCTCCCCCAAAACGTGCCCCCAGGGCATGGACCCCCAAAGTTGGGCATTCGAAGTTAGACTTTCTTTGGAATCGACAACCCATCAGCTACTCACGTTCCTTCCGTTTTGTTGAAGGCAAGGGGAGCCTGAGAATGGCTTAGGCCTAAGCGTCCGTCTGAGGGTTAGACCTAGGTTTACAATATGAGACCCCCTGGAATGAGCCCCCAGGGCACTTACCGCCAAAGTTGGAATTTTTCTGGAGTCAGCTATCTAACAGCAATGTGTGTACCAAGTTTCAGCCTCTCATCATGTCTAGAACATGGTTAGAATCAGTCAGTCAGTCAGTCACGATCGCCTATATATATTAGATGAAATACCCAAATCGTATTGCCTTTCATTTTCCCTAAATGTTCATCCATGAATTTTCGTGTTACTTTTGAAAGAGTAGGGACTCCTTTTTCCCCAGGTTGCTCGAAGAAATGGAATTTCTCACTAAATGTGACTTTCATCCTTAAAGTAGACAAAAAAATGCATTGAATGTGATAATTGAACGATTTATTTTTGACTAGATGTTTTGGCATTTGAAGGAGGCGAATTTAATAAGTTTATTCCCACATAATTTAAAATTTGATTTATTTCGGATGCAGGACCTAGAGGATATTCTAGACGAACTCGAATATCCGGCTTTCCACTACCTTGAAGTGATTGACATGAGCGACGGTGCTGTGACGGTCGATGAGTACTTCGATTTGGGTCTGTCCCCTCTTCAATTTTCACGAATATAACAGTTTGCCTAGAGGGCTTTGTTATTACGCACTCATTAATTGTCATTGAAAGTCATCTACTTCGCCTTTTTCTGGTCGTTTCCGAATTAGGGAGTTCGATTATATCGAATAGGAGTTTTCATCGCTCATACCCTTATAACTCCAAGGATATTCGCAAAACAAAAAAGAACTGTCTGATTTGGTTATTTTTGTGAATATAGGTCGCGTGACGGAATTTCGGTACACGAGGTTCTAGCGGTCCCCTTAGTCTCTAAAGTCGGTCAACCTCCTAAACTAGCTAGAGCTGAGCCCCTACACAGGTAGGCTGTTCCGGAAGCACAAGCAGCTGTTGGTCCTATTGGTCTCCCTTGCAGGAGGTGCCCACAACGTCCCACCTTGCACTTGCCTTAGCTCGAACGGCATCACATTGTGATTCTCTTTCAGCCGAGGCGATCTCCCATAAAGAACCTTTCCTTTACAAGATGGCCGTGTCTTACATGCTCGCCCATCCGTACGGCTTCACTCGGATCATGAGTAGCTACGACTTCCAGGAATTTAGCGATCCTCCCCCACACGATGAGGATTACAAGTAAGCGAGCAAATCAAGCTCATTCCCCAATTTGAATCGTTCAAGGGATTTATTTTGCAGTCGTGGGAAAAAGAATCTACTAATATTATCGCCTATTCAGATAGAATCCGTGGTTGCTGATTTATTGATTGCTTCAGTAAAGTGTAAGGTATGAAAGAAATCCATTTTCTCCCACGAAGCACCCTGGACGTGCCGATCAACCCGGACGGAAGTTGTGGGAACGGGTGGGTGTGCGAACACAGATGGCCAGTCATCACCCGAATGGTAACAAATGTTTGAGTGATCGGTCCTTNATGAAAGAAATCCATTTTCTCCCACGAAGCACCCTGGACGTGCCGATCAACCCGGACGGAAGTTGTGGGAACGGGTGGGTGTGCGAACACAGATGGCCAGTCATCACCCGAATGGTAACAAATGTTTGAGTGATCGGTCCTTCGGTCGAACCTTCACTTAATTTACGATGGATAATGTCATTCCAGGTTGAATTTAGAAATGCGGTGGTTGGGACAGACCTCGAAAACTTCTTCTTGGAAGGAGATGACGTGGCCTTCTCTCGAGGGGACAAGGGATTCTTCGCCATTTCAAAATCCGGTTCCATGGATAGGGTCTTCCAAACCGGTACGAGCGATCATCAACTCCTCTCTCGTCTGCCGATCGCATGAACATGAGAATCTCTTGCATTTCTCGACAGGGATGCCGGAGGGTACGTACTGCAACGTGATTGACGGATGCGAGACGGAGGTGACAGTGGAAAGTGATGGGACGGCCCGCATCCAGATCACCAACCCCGAGGAACCAATCCTGGCCATCTGTCAAGGGTGCACCGGAGACGGATTTCCTAGGATGCAATGAAACCAATTGCAAATGCCCGAATCAACTCTCCATGAATGTGTCAGCAAATAAAATGACACCCCAGATATATATCTACTAGAAAAAAAATTATTAGACGTTTCAATCTCGAAGAAAAAGAACTTGAGCCAAAATAATCGGTAAAGGACATTTTGAGATGTGGAAAAAAAAAACTATATCGCAAGAGTTCTGAGAAAATAAACCTGGCACAGTCATTCCAGGCAAGAAATGGGATTTGGCAATGCTCTCCCGGGATCTGTTTACCTCTACCTCAACCGCAAACGAAGCAAGGGTACATGTCCGGGTTGAGATCTGCCATTCCACCAGCCACTGTACCGCTGGGGGTGACCTATTTCCCCTCCACTGAATCAGAGCTATGAAATGCATAATTTAAAAATAAATGGATCCAATCCTTTTTTCGTCGTCTTTGCCAACATGAATATGAATAAACTTAGGAAATTTAACGAAGTCCCCGTGATCTTGCGAGTCTGCGTCGCATGGATATAGGAGGAGAGTAATAGGTATGGAGGTGTGGGATGCCAGATGCGGCACTTCACGAGTTCGGTCAATCCCTTCTGCTATGAGTAGCTCCTTCCTTTTCTTCACTATAGATCAATAAAAATATATTGCAATGGTTGAAAGAGAACAGATTGTTTTGTTTTAGTCAATAACTAACACCCTGTTCTGGGATGAGTTGCCGCATATGCGTATCGAGGCAGCCGCAGACCAGTGGAGTGAAAATGAAAGAAAAATCAAAACATGAGACCGCTATAGAAACTAGTTTCCCATGGCTCACGTTGGGAATTACAGATTATGATGCCGAGCCTCAGCTTCATATTGGAGAAGTCCAGAAATGCCATTCCAAGGTGCCTGGAAAAGAAGCATTGCTGACTCTCATGTTAACTAGGGAAAGGTATCATCGAAATAGGAAAAAATAAATTTAATATATATAGACGCTTGTGAGTGACTCACTGACCGACTTATTCTACTCTATATGTTCTGGAAAAGAGAGCTTGAGACTTGGTACATGAATAGCTATTAGATTGCTAACTATACAAATTCGGACTTTTGGGGTACATGTCTTGGGAGCGCATTTTATATGCCCAGGCTTAGCCCACCAAGAAAGCTTAAGCCAATGCTTCTATCATACACACTTTCTTAATCGAAACTGGAAGGATAGCTGCTAAGTTGCAGACTCCGAAGAAAGTCCTACTTAGGAGGTACATGCCCTGACCCTATATTCCTCTTCCCTATGGTCCCATTATTTTTCACACTGAATAATAGTTTTATGATGCATAGTTTGCATAAATATCTGAGCACGGAAAGAAACTTCATACCAACCCTGTATTTCCTGAATTCGGCCAGTAGGCTTCAAGGCCCTAGCTCGAGGAGATTAAAACTTTTCTTTTAACATTTATCATAAGAACCTTCAGGTCAGCGAAATGAAGTTCACAAGTTCAAGCATTTCAGATTTAATACTCCAATTAAACAAATTTTATTTAGGATCCGACTGCACAATCGTCGCTTCCTCAAGTATACCTCACAAGAAAACCCTATTAATCAACTATTACTACCTATTAATCCACCCTATACCCCTTACGAAAGAATCCTACAGGAATTCTGTAGGAACGTATAGGAATCCTATTGGAAGCATGCATTTGTGACGAGAAGAACTGAAGGCAGGGAGGTTGCATGGACGAGAGAGGACGAAAGAAAGCCAGGGGACGGCCGGGAATCGAACCCGAGCCTCCTAATTGCGGGTC